GGGAGAGAAAAAAACACATTGTGATACTCACGGACAATCTGGCCAGAGCTGTCTTCTCGCTTCTCAACACCGGAACTGGCAGTGACTTCCGGCTCTCGCGGCTGGCAGCAGACGTGAGTCCAGTCGGGTCTCGCGGCATGACTGATGGCTGGATAATGTCTTCCGATTGTTGCTCTTTTCGTCTGTGATTTGGATGACGACCATCAAGAATTGAAGAACAACCGTAAGGTGATAAGTTTGTACTGAACACTCTCTCAAATCAGAGCCATGCTTTCAAGAATCTTACTTCTGCCTTGACGTGAGTCCACTTGATTGATGTAGAGCGAACTTGGAAAGCATCGTCTGAAAGAGGTTTTAAAAAGTAGATGTATACCAAAGCTGTTAAACTTAAAGATATAAACTTAAGTTTATGGGGGGGGGGGTATCTTAATTAGAGCACAAAAAGAGATGCAAAGTAACCTGTAGAGAGGAACTTCTAATCCAATGAATTCATGACGTATTGAAATAATAGTTATAACTTAATAGGTTAGTAAATTTATTATCGATATCTGTGGTGTAGCGGTTAGGCACTTCGCTGTCGCACTCAGGAGACCCGGGTTCAATTCCTTAGTGGGGAGAAAATTATTATCGAGCATCTCAATCTTCTGGTATGTTGTATCTCTCTCCGCCCGGGGTAGGACCTGGACGGCAGGGTTGAAAGCCCGCCTCCTAAATTATCTCAACTAAAAAAAAGCGTAGAAAATAGCTACATTTATTCTGCTTTATTATATAATTAATTATTATGCCCAGCCGCCTCTCACTTGCATGCAGTTTGCACTCTAAACCCCTTACGGTCGACGACTGTTCTGAAAGAAGAAGAATGCTATGTGAGCTCGTGACCAGATTGTTCCCTAAACAATAGAGAGTAGCTGAAAGCTTCATGAGGAGAGCCATTGTGAGGTACCATCTGGGTGGTATTCTCAGCAACAGCGCTTGTTGTCCCGTGGATTGTGAGCTCACACTCGCTTCTCACACTCAGATCAGAATTTCAGTTCTCAACTAACAGTAAATGACTTCTTTCAAATGAAGAGAGAGCAGATAGATAAAAGAATTCATTCGTACAAACTGCAGTGACGATATACATGAAACATATATATA